AAAAAAAATTAAAAAGGGGGGCTAATAAGTCTGACTTAAACTATATATATATATATAATAGGATGAAAGAACTTGCAGTTTATTTTCTATTATAAATTACAACACCAACTAAATATAATATATCACTTCAAACTACTACATATGTCTATTTAAGTAATATTTTAATATGTCTTTAAAGGTTCAAAGCATAATTAAACAAAATGTATTCATAACATTGTAAAATATATGTTCAGGTAAATGAGATTGGAACAAATCCTTATAAAACTGTATTTATTTATTTGTTCTGCTTTAAGATTGCACTACATTAAAATAAAATAAAATTTTAATGCCTAAATTTTCATTTGCAGTTTCTAATTTTTAATTCAATCCTTACCAATATCATTATTGTAACAGAAGAATACTGACAAAGAAGTTGGGGATCCACATGCAGTTTCTTAACAAGTAGTTCTGCAGGCAATGGTCAAGAACAGCGACAAACAGGAGCATTTAGGTTAGGGGTGTCAGACTCAGTTCCTGGAGGGAGAGTTTAGTTCCAGCCCTGCTTTAATACACCTACTTGAAGATATCAAATTAGCCTAAAGTGCTCAATTAGTTTAATCAGAAGTGTTTAATTAGGGTTGGAACTAAACTGTGCAGAGCTGCAGCACTCTAGGAACTGAGTTTGAGATCTGTGAAGTAGGTAATCCAGGTAGTAACAGGCGAATGATCAGGACAGGCGGCAAGACAACAAAAAAAATAAACTAAGCAAAGGGTCAAAACACGGCAAGACAAACCAGTAAAAATGCTTTGTAATGCTACACAGGGTAAACAAGACTCAGCAATGTGTGTGTGCATGTGAGAGAGGTGAATATAAAGTCCAGGTAATAGCTGTGTGTGTGTGTGTGTGTGTGTATGTGTGTGTGTGTGTGTGTGTGTGTGTGTGTGTGTGTGTGTGTGTGTGTGTGTGTGTGTGTGTGTGTGTGTGTGTGTGTGTGTGTGTGTGTGTGTGTGATCAGAGACAATCAGGAACTGGCGTGTGCAATGTGCATGATGGTATTTGTGGTCTTTTTCATATCTCATAATGTATCCTGTTCAATTAAAATTTCTTCCTGAGCAAAAAAATGATTCATTATGATGATTGTTTACAACCACATAATACAAAATATTGTCAAAAATATTTTTTAAAGAATCCTTTGAAGACATATTACAATATTATATTTAAAAATTGTTGTATAGAAGCAAGTAATGCATTGCTTTAATAATTATGCTTTAAACCTCTATGTCTTACCCTGTTCAATTATTAAAATCAATCCTGCCTAGTGTCAACCCTTCCTTTAGTGTTTTCAAAATGAATGTAACATTAAATCTGCGAATTTTTATCATAAGAGGCTATGACTTAGTTTTGAAGGGTGACTTCAATGTTGAAGGAAACAATCTAAGAACTGTCTCTAGGCTGGGAGGGTTATTACTTAACTATCATTTACAGAATGGAAAACATGACTAGCTATGGCTATACTTCATAATGTACAACTTCAGGCCAAATGCACACTCAATCTGTCTTTCTTTATCTGAGCCACACCAGTAGTTAAAGCCTCATTGACACTGTGTTTCTGACATTGAACCAACCTCGCAAAGCCTCCAGGAAGTGAATAATGGCCCTCAGAACAAAAGCAATATTGATGGGAGGAAATCAGCCTTATTTCTGGGGATATGACACAATACGCAGCTTGGCTGTTATTAATGACTGATTGGTCAGCAGTGAATAACATCACTTCCTATTTGACTGCCAGCATTAAAGGTATAGTTCACCCCAAAATACTGTTGGTAGAAATGTGTGAGTGAAGCGAGAAAGAACTTTTTTTCAGAAATGTTTCAATATTTCTTTGTCTGAACAATTAAAGTCAATAAAAAAACAAAACAGGACAGAAAGTCACAGGGGTTTGGAATGACATCAGGATTAATAAAAGATGACATAATTTTTATTTTGGGGTGAACCGTTCCTTTAATTAGGGTGTTTTATATGAGTCGAGTTCACGTCATTTTTGGAAGCAACAATGATTAGTGCATTAAAGAGAACTAGACTAATACAGTGGATTTGTCCATTTTTAACTCCTTGTTCAAAAGGGTTAACTAAGACAAAACCTAAACAAATAAAATATTAACACTTTAGTTTAGGTCACAATTCACACTATTAACTACTGGCTTGTTACCTGCCGATTATTAAGATATTAACTGTATATAGGGTATATGCGGAAGTGTGTGGAAGGACTTTTATTTGTGAGTAAACGTGGTCAAGTGCTTCTGGTGAACTGTATGCCCTTATGAAGTCAGCGCGTTTAAGGTCTGTTTTCTTTAAAAATTAGCGATCTTTACTGCCTGATTGATATACAACATAAAGTGGTTCTCAGACTGTACAAGAAGAACTGCATTGAATTACATTACATTTTCTCCACCATGTCTTTAAAATATAAACATTTCTTTGAGCCCATTATATTCAATGGAGCTTCTGAGTTAGCGTGCTAATCCTGACATGCGTGTAAACAGATTTTCGTCTCGTTTTAAGCTTGAACAACTAAACAAATGCTAATGTCTATTTAACTGATTGTTTTTTAATTACATTACAACATCAATGCTGTAAAATGAACCATATAAAATTAAAAAAAGTCACATTAACCATTCACCTGAAGTTTATCAGTATGGGAAGAAACACTAGCTCTGCATATACACTATTAGCACTTGTAAAGTATTCTAGCCAAAACCTAAACCCAACTACTCCCTTACTAATTTATAATAAGCAATTATCAGTTTGAAAATGAGCTAATAGTCTTAGTAAATTGTTTGTTAATAGCATGAATTGTGACTTAAAATAAAGTGTTTTCAATAAAATAAATTTACTCATCAATACATAGTTGCTTTCACACTCTGTAGTTTCAGAAATGTAGTCTATAGAAACTGTCCACTAGGCTTGTATAGTTCTTTTAGTGAAGTGAATATTTCTAGAGTAGTCAGAATCACAGAAGAAAGTACAAAATCTTATTTAGAGTCTTAATTAATTTTATCGGTCATTATTTTCCACAACTTTAAATGACAGGAATTTTGTTATATACACTGAATTTTGCTGTGTTTTTATCAAGCCCTGGAATTTTGGAATATATGGTACATGTCATATATGACCATCTCTGCCCTCTGCAATTCTCACATGGTCGCCCACTGAAGTTAAGGAGCACAGCGCCCTAGTCTGGCGCAATATGGCTGTCATCATGACATCCAGGTGGATGCTGCACACCAACGTGTAAAGCGATTTGAGTGTCCAGAAAAGTGCTAAATAAATGTAAGGAATTATTATTATTATTATTATTATTATTATTATTATTATTATTATTATTATTATTACTAGACCCAAAAAATGCTGATTTATTTCCCATTTCTTCACCCTAAAGTGATTTTAAAACTTTAAAAATGCAAAAGAAGATATTTTGAAGAGCTGAAAACCTCGGACCATTGACTTCCATATATTCAAAATATTATAGAAGTCAATGGTTGCAGGTTTCCAGCTTTTTTTTTTTAGAATATCTATCTTCTTTTGTTTTCAGCAGAAGAAAGACCCTTGTAAAGATTTGAAACTAGTAAGAGGACATATGTACATATGACAGAATTTTCATTTTTGGGTGAACTATCTCTTTAAATGTGCATCACTAAGAATAAAGTTACATAGTTTTCCATTCTTTTCTATTATTTTATAAGTGTGCAAGCTTATCTCAAACAGAACTGAAAAAAATAATATATTTGCCAAGTTTTTTTTAGCCCCATTGGTTAACAAAACAGATAGTCCAGCCCCCAGCTCACAACTTGGTTAGACTGTTGCTATGTAAGCCTGGGCAATATCTTTAACACCCATAACCACAAATTAAACTACATATTGAGTGGAATACCAATTTTAAAACATACACTTCAAAAAAATAAAAATCATTACATATTACTTGACAAATTGAATGCAATCATTATTAATTACTCACTGGGCATGATCTAGTCAAGTCTTGAGCTTGATGCACCCTGACGGTTATTTTTAGTGGGGTGAATGGTGTGTGCAGGAGTGCAGGGTTGAGCTAACACTGTTATTCTTAGGGAGTGAGTCTCCACACTGTAACCTCTGGCCTCATCACTAATGTTTTTACCGCTCTGCGACTTGCACAAGACATAGAACTGACACAGTGGAAAAATACATCCTGATGAATGATTTCCACCTGGATCATCAGCTTATCAATTATATGGATAAAAGCCATTTGATAAAAATGCAAATTGTGACTTTTTCCCATCAAACAATTAATAAATCTTTCTTACAATTCAGAAGTCATGTCTTTATTTTCTCTGAACTGCTATTTCTTTATATGTTATTTAGCAATTCTGACTTTATTTCTTGTTTATTTCTTACTTGTCTCATTTTATTTGATTTAGAGCTTATATCTTGCAGTTTTCTCTCAGATTTATAAGTTTATATTTGTAATCCGTCTATCTTTCCCACATGGTTTTTAGTTTACATCTTGCAATAATATTCTTTTTCATAATTTTGACTATATATTACAATATGTATGTCCATGTATGTGACCCTGGACCACAAAACCAATTATGAAGGTACTTTAATATAGAAATTGAGATTTATAATTATAAAATCTGTAAATCTGGAGTCTGAAGTTTCAAAAAAATCTAAATATCGAGAAAAATCTTTAAAGTAATTTGAAATTTCTTTAAAGTTGTCCAAATTAAGTTTTACTCAATGTATATTACTAATCAAAAATTAAGTTTTGATATTTGCGGAAGGAAATATAACAAAATGTCATAATGGAATATGATCTTTACTTAGTATAGTAAAAAAACATCTAATATTTTGATCCTGAATTGTCTAAGAACGTGTCAAAAGAGGACTTTTTGAACATACAACACTTACATTTCTATAAGTATTGTTGTTTAAAAAAAGCTTAATTTTTAACTTTGTAAAAAAAATAAAAGTACGATTTTCTCACCTGTCAATGGCTGTGCTGGTTGGCATACTGCGGGCAAAACCTCGGATTCCTCTTTGACTGAAGTAAGGGATGCAGGAGAGATTTGCAGCCATCACTGCAAGCGAATCTGACGGACTCACGAAAAACCCATTCTCACCCATGATCATGTAACGATCCTGTACGTGACAGAAACACAGCCAAGATCATACAACAATAAATTCTGTTGTTTAATTTGATTGAACAAGCAACTCTTTTTTTAAAATCTAAAATGCAAGTTACTTGATAACCATTTATTGCTAACTGATGTGTTGTATAAAATAATCAGGTGTTGAATCTTGAAAGTCAAGAACTTACACTAAAGTTCAAAAGTTTGTAGTCAGAAAAAGCTTGTTAATAATTTATATTAATGTTGTTTTACATAATTGTGCTTTTCAGTTTGCTTTGATAAACAGCACAACTGTTTTAGTTGTTCACAAGAGAGACTGTTCCCCCAAAACTGAAAATTCTGTCATCATTTACTCATTCTCCAATTGTTCCAACCCTGTTTGAGTTTCTTTCTTCTGTTGAACACAATGTAAGGCATTGTGCTGAAATGTCTCTGTTTTGTATCACTGAAGAATATAAAATAAAAGCTATACAAAGTAATTATTTAAAAAGTGTGAATCATGACCTTCTGAATAAAGTGCAATAAAGTTGAGAGTTTTTACTGTAAATATATATTGAATAAAGTAAATGGTTTGGTAAACAACAACAGCATTAAATGCATTTAAAACTTAATGAAGATACAATATTAGAAAATACAGTATATTTAACTGAAGACAAAGTAGAATGACAAAAGATAAAAGGAATAATAAACAATAAAGTACTGCAATAAAAGAAGCTAAAATTAATCCAGTAATTTGGTTCAGATGATTCTCTTATACACTCTCTTATCTAACTCTTATGATGTTTTCACTTTTTTCTGTGTTTGTACAATTTTCTAAGTCATTTGTAAATGATTATGAGATAAGAGGCAAGCACCCCATCTGCATCAAAAGCAGCTCCAAAGCCGAACTCTCCGCCCTTCATGGAGTCCACCAGAGGTCCAGCGAAAGCAGGGTTTGGGTTTGGGTGTTGGCCTCCAAAGTCCTCCAGAGGGACACAGTTCACTGCAGAGTTAGCTGGAGCTCCGAGCTCATCACATAGGATTCTTCTGACATATGGTCCCATTACTGAAACAGACCACACGAGGACATGCCTTCTACATAACACATCCAGCTTTTTATCTTTTTTTTAAAGCAGAAGTTGAAATATAACACTTTAGTTTATGATAATGCATTAAAGTAATATGATAACAAATCACAGAAATCTGCCATTTCAAGCAGGATTTTTAGTAACACTTTAGTTTTGGTCACATTTATTGCCATTAACCACTGACTTATCATCTGATTATTATTAATCTGTTCATTAGTTAACTGTTCATTAGTTGTTATAAAGCATGATCTTATTTTACATCCCTAATTCTACCCAAAACCTAAACCCAAAACCTAAACCCAACTTCTACGGTACTAACTATTAATATACAGCTAATTAGTGGTTTAATTTATTAAGCTAATAGTGTTGGTTAATGGTTTATGAATATTGTAAATTGGGACCTAAACTAAAGTGTTGTCGGATGGAAATACATGCTTCAGCTGACTTTCTTTTTATGAAACGCCAAAAATGTACTGAAACATACGTTTGACTGCAGTTTCTAGATGAATTGAACACTACGGGCGGTACGATGCCTTCCACACTAATAATAATTATAGGGACATATTGTCATGGTCAGGCAGGCAAAGATTAAATACAGAAGCAATCGGGTACATGCAGGTAAAGCAAAGAGAGTAGTCGGGTCACAGGCAAAGAGATTGGTCCAGGCAGCAAACTACGTAAACAACGAAACAAAGCAAGAATCAAACACGTCTAGACTGGACAAGAAAAACAGGCCTTAATGCTCACTAAAGCCACAGTCACACTGGGGTTTTCAGCCCATAGACTTACATTCATATGAACACAAATGCGTCAGATCGCAAATGCAAGCTCATGTGAAAAGTTTCGCAGTTCGCTGTGTTGGAAAGTTTAAGCTTGGTAAACTCTAACCTGTGAAATCGCATAACTTGATTGTGTGAGACCAATTACAGATCAAAACATGACCTTTCTGGATAGAAATTTAAAATATGGACCAATCGCTTATTTTTTATAATGTCTAATCAACTTGTTTAATCCCGCACCTTTTCACAACAGAATTTCGCAAGCACAAACTCTAATGTGACAGTGGCATAAAATAGATAAATAATGCTCAGCAAGGTTGCGTGTGTGTGTGTGTGTGTGCCATCAGCGACATGACAGGATTTGTAGTCCATATGGAGATGGGATCGTAGTCTGAGTGAAAGTAAATGATTCCCAGCAACGTAAGCTGAGGCACATATTTCCATTGAGCCTGTGCAGGTGAATAAGGTACTAATGTTCTTGCATTAAACAGAAGGCGGGATATTTGCAACTGTCACAAATGTTTACCTCCATTCATGGCATCTATTCGAATCTTCAGCTGGTTTGGGCCTGTCAGCAAGCTCTTGATGCCACTGAAGTCAAAAATGCCCCTCAGCAGGTTGAAATAGATCTCCACTGAATCCACAATCTCAACTGAAATACAGAGAAATTTTATGTTTAGTATGTGCGTGTAAAAAAACAAACATTTTTCTAGCTTCTAGCGCTCACCTCTGAAGGGTTTAAACTTGTTCTCTAAATCAAAGTCCTGACGGCCGAGTCGGGAAAGGTCGATGTGCAGGTCAGGACAAATAGCATATTCCTCTAAAGTGCGGCTCACCTGGTGGATTCTCTCTATCACTGTGTCTGGAGATGGTCCTGATAACAAAAAACAGACACAGATTTCAACAAAACATCTAAAGTAAACAACTTATCTATTATAGAGCCACCCATCAAGCATTTATACATCTATCATTCATCAATAATCCCTCCGTTCTTTCATCCATCCATCCATCCATCCATCCATAACACTTTTTATCTATCATATTTCCATTCATATTCACTCCAGCCATCAATCATCATCTATCCATCCATTAATCATATATCCATCTGTCCATATCCATCCATCATTATATTTATTTCCATCAATAATCAATCCATTCATCCCTCCTATTTTCATCAATCAATCAATCAATCAATCAATCAATCAATCAATCAATCAATCAATCAATCAATCAATCAATCAATCAATCAATCCACCAATCCATTCATCTATCAGCTCTATATTTCTACATTCACCAGTCCATCCATTCAGCTAATATATCTCAATCCATCTATCTAAAATGAAAGAACTGGAGTAAAAACACTGATTTAAAATGTTCTCACCTCCATTCGCGACATTAAATTTGATCCCAAAATCTCCTCCTGGTCCTCCCGGACTGTGGCTTGCAGTGAGGATGATACCACCAATAGCTTTAATCTTCCTGATGATGCAGGACACTGCTGGGGTGGACAGGATCCCGTTGTGTCCAATCACCAGACGTCCTATCTGAAACCAAAGGTTTGGTTTGATTTATCTTAGTTTCTTTTAAACACAAAAAGTTGCGAATTTAAAAAGTTGTCAATTTAATTTGTTTTCGTTTATTTTTTGTTTTACTGAGAGGAATCCCATGCAAGCTTTGTAAAAGTGAAAAGTTCAGATACAAAAACCTCTAAATGTCATCTGAAATTTTCCTCATTTTTATCAGGCTTCTCTGTGTATGTTCAGAAAGATCACTTTTATGGCAAAGAATAAGTCCTTTTCCTGGTCTTTAAAGTGAAATAACTCAACATTAACAAAGGAGGCTGAAAAAAAAAAATCATTTTCAATGGAAATTTTAGACGGCACTCAGAGGTTTTTGCATCTGAACTCTTCAAGTGTTAAAGGGCACATTTATTTTTTGGGATCTTAAGGGCCAGATTTAGTAAACAGGGCAAATTAATGTAAGATCAAATTCCTAATGCATAAAAGTGACAATAGAAGTGGAATTTTTTGTAAACGGACAATGCATGAATTAACATAACATATTTTATTTGTAGTAAAATGAAAATCAGTTTGAATATTCTTTAGAACATCTTCTTTTATGTTCCACAAAAAAAACAAAGTAATGTTAAAGTGCAAATGCTTGGTTCTTTGTACCTTATTTGCCCAAAACATACTATTTACATACACAAAACATACACAACTATTTTAGATTATTACTCAAAAAACTGAAAAAACAAAATTTTTGAGATTTTTGGGGGACAATTTGATAGTTTTATGTTGAATCCTCTTTGTTAAGTTAATTTAACCAATTTGTGTTTGTACAAAATGAATAAATAGTGTGGAACCCTGCATTTATTTTAATTACTGGGCTTTCAATAGGGTAAATATTGTACAATTTTGTTATTTAAGCATACTGAACATGTAAAACAGCATGTCAGTCTTTGCCATTTTCTATAAGATGTTTTTGCCACTTATATCTGAATGTAAATGTAACACTTTTTTTATACATTAAAAGTTAGTAAAACCCAATATGGCTTTAGGCCTCAATAACAACAGGATCAAACAATTAATAAGAGTTTGTAGCAAGAATGCCCTATATAATTCAAGTTCAATGGGTTAAATGCCCATTATCTATTACATGTATAGTACATGTATTACCACGATAAAAATGAACTGTGGAAAAACCCAGCAACCCATAACTAACATATTTTGTTGGTCGAGATTAAACATGAAATGTCGTGTGTTTATACACAAAAGATTTTACATTAATATTTAAATAATAGGTTACATTCAAGAATCTGACATAAAGACAGCAGATTCAATCATAGCATACTTAAGAAAGGCATTTAAAAAAGGAAAGCAATCCTGCTAATAGCTTTTGCAATAAAATGCAGATAATCCAGATGCCATCCACACTGTTGAGAGCGTTTTTAGATGCATATAAATATGTTATCTTCTCGACAACAATATAGGTATAGAACAAAAATGACAGCATAAAGAAAACAGCAGTTAAGAAAGCATTTGACAACAGTGACATAGATATGTTTGCGCAATAGTTGCTCTTCACTTCCAAACCTTCACCTGTCACACCGGGGTTATCATAACATTATGCGGTGAGCTTTAAACTTGCACCCTTCAGAGGCGCCAGTCACGGCTACTGCTGCATACCAGATCAACAGCTACATCTATCTGAAGCTCATTCCGGCGGGAGCGTCAAGCTGAGTCAGGGACAAAACTAAACAGGCCTCTTTACTCGCAACAATGTCTGAGTATCTATAGCAGACATTCAATCCCAGAGGCCATAAAATCAGCCTCCTCTGTCAAGATTATTGACAGATTCTGCTCGTTTCCGTCTTTCTAGCTCAGAAGACAGCAGCTCAGACATCTCAGCAACTTTGTGACGACTCATTAAGCTTTACAAGATCAGCCACTCTCTATTAATAGTGAGTTATTTGGCATCTCTCACTCAAGCGTTTATAATGATCTGCAAGTGCACTGAGCAATTGCTTATTTTGAAATAATACTGTAAGGTTAAAAACATACACTGAAATATATTTCAAAATACACAAATATATTTGCATAAATATATTTCCTACAGATACAAATTGGCATTTAAAAAATAATTCAGAAATTATACACTTATATATATTATTTATATATATATATATATATATATATATATATATATAAATTGTGCCTCATGTAACATTGACTGGCACTGTAATATGCAAAAATCACTATATTTGAGTAGCTGTATATCATTTGTTAAGCAGTACAAATAAACAATATTAGAGTGCTATTCTATTTAATGTTTTTTTTCCATTTTAAATAATAGAGACATATATTTGCATCCATATTCTATTTTAAGGTTAAAATGGTATATGACATATATTTTAAATTACAGTGTGAAAAATATCCACAAATTAGCAGTTTATTTATGCTTTTGAATTGCATAATGGGACCTCGATCTTTCTTCCAACAACTTCTAACCTTGAAAAGTTTGAAAAAGTGACTTTTATTAAAAAATTTTATGGTTTTAAGTTTTATTTTAGTTTAATGGTTCATAAGTGATGTATTGTCTATGATGGTGTTGTAAATTACAGTAAAAAAAAAAAAACCTTCTAATAAACTGCCAGTACATATTGTGTTATTTTACAGACTTATTCTCTATAAATTGTTTCTTATACATTATATTATTTCAATCTTTATTACTAATTTATTATTAAAAGTCACTTTGTTAAAACGTAGAGTTGAATTTTCAACATCAGAAATCGACAGAGCAGAGATCAAGGTCCCATAATGCAATTTACAGTGTATTTTTTCCAAATAAATTTTCTTGAGCTTCACAATTTCTAAATAGATTTAGTTTATATTTAAAATAATAATAATATTAATAATATATATATATATATATATATATATATATAGACACACACACAGTTGAAATTAGGAAAAAAATAAACAGGGGGGCTAATAATTCAGGGGGGCTAATAATTCTGACTTCAACTGTATGTATGTATATATATATATATATATATATATATATATATATATATATATATATATATATATATATATATATATATATATATAATTTAACTAAAAAATATGTTCCTACCATATATGCACTGTTAACAATCTGTAAATTACACAGTATTTAACTGTAATATGAATTGTATTTTACTGTATGCAATATATGATACGTTACTGTATTTTAAAGTTGCATTGTGGGAAATATTCTCCCGGTGCCAGTATTTTACACAGCGGTCAAACATAGGACATACTGTAATTAAATGTATTTTTATAGTACTGTTGTGTTATAGATAATAGATAAATGAACAGTGAATTACAAGTTATTTTTACTGTGTAAAATATATTAAACAACTACATATACTCTATATTTACAGTAAAGATATGCAATATTGTAAATTATGTATGGGATGATAACAGTTTTCAAGGTATACCGTGGTTTGGATAAGCCAAGGTTTTAAAACCACAAAAATTTTCCGTTATACTGTTCCTACGGTATATGTAAGAGTTTTTGTTTTTTGTTTTTAGGACAACAGTTTCTCCAGCAGAAAATATACCCAATGATGCCATTTTAAAAAAAGCAGAAATCAATGTTTTTATTGAATTGTTTATCCTGATGTTTATTGTACCAAAATATTTTAAATCAATATATTTAAGAGTAATCACAATTTCTTGAAGCCATGATACTTTTATCCAAGGTTATCATACCATCTGAAACTTATACTAGCCCATGCCTACTGTAAATACATGTACATCACTGTACTTTCAATACAGTATTTTTGCTGTACATTTGACTTACAGTTAATTGCTGGCAAACTGCTGCCTTTACGTTAATGTAAATGTAGGCCCATTGCCTTTTCTTGCATTTCTCAGTTGAAGCTCAGTGAGTGTGAACTGAACTTCCAGCACTCTCCTAGCAGCTTATCCATATAAGGTACTGCTTTCAGATACAGAGCATCAGTATATCAAGCCCCTCAGAGTTACTGAGTTTGCACTGAAGAATCTTAGGGAGATGTGGAAAAGAGAAAAAAAAAATGTTTAGAATTAATCAAGTGTTTTTAAAAGAACACAACTCTGCTCACCAAGGTTGAATTTAATTGATCAAACATACAGTAAAATGCTGTAAAATTTTACATTTATATTTTAAAATAACCGTTTATTGGATGTACTTTGAATTTCAATTTATTTCTGTGATTGTGAGCGGAACTTACGCCAGTATACAGTCACATGATCAAAATAAAAAAGCAGCCTTAAATCATAGGAATAAATTACAATTTAAACCACAGTCAGTTAAAAAACAGTTACTTTAAACTGTAATAATAATTCACAATTTTTAAGTTTTTACAAAATTTTCTGATCATAATAATGCAACATTGGAGAACAGCTTTTTAAAAAGAAAAAAGAAAATTACAAAATGATCCAATATGATTCCCATTTTTGTAGGTGTCAAAAACAATGATTTAATGCTCGAAATGAACTCAATATTATAACTCGATTGAAATATGCATTTCTGAATGACTTGGCACATGTCCATGTGTTCTGGGTTTCCCCACAGTGCTGACATGAGCATGAGAGGTCAAACCAAGGGAAAGAGGTGTGCCGCCGAGGGATGGCACAACAGATAAGACTGCAGACATTCAGCCAGGCCTGCAGAGAGAATTAGCTTTCAAACTTTCTTTCTGTTCAGCTCAGTTTGGGAGAGCAAAATGCAGACAAAAATTCTTGATAGGTATATACTGTAAACAAAGATAAACTGTTTGAACTAAAAAAATCTTGCAATATTGCTGAAACTAAACAAGCATAGGCATCAGATTACACTTTTTATTCCTACAGGCTTGAATTATAGTCAGATAACATGATGATCATAAAAAATGAGTAGATTATATAGGTAAATAATGGGTAATAAATAAATATGGGTAAATAAATAAATAATCAAATAAACAAATCGATACATTTAATATAAATAGGATAAGCAACAAAATTAGTATGTAAATAAATAAATTCTTTATAATAGAGTAAGTACATCAAACATATATAAATATAACATTTATTAGGAAAATCTAAAAAGACTCATTATTTTTTTAATTACACTATATCAACTTTCTGATTGTACAGAGATATCAGGGAATAATTCATTCATTCATTTTCTTGTCGGCTTAGTTCCTTTATTAATCACCACAGCGGAATGAACCGCCAACTTATTCACCACGTTTTTACGCAGCGGATGGCTTTCCAGCCGCAACCCATCTCTGGGAAACACCCAGAAGCACTCATTCACACACACACTCATACACTATGGACAATTTAACCTACCCAATTCACCTGTACTGCATGTCTTTAGACTGTGGGGGAAATCGGAGCACCCGGAGGAAACCCACGAGAGAAAACATGCAAACTCCACACAGAAACGCCAACTGAGCTAAGGATCAAACCAGCGACCCAGCAACCTTCTTGCTGTGAGGCAACAGCACTACCTACTGCGCCACTGCCTCGCCCGTCAAGGAATAATAAAATATTTAATTAAAAATTTAAGCGAGAAATAATGTGAATAAATAAACATTTGTTCTATTATAAAATGTATTATATTTAGTAGTTATTAAGAAAAGATAATAGAATATAATGTATAGACTGAAGTATATATAACGTATAAGGAGAAGAAAATGTTATATAAAAATGTTATTAAAAAAAGTTAAACATAGCTAGATGGATGGATGGATGGATGGATGGATGGATGGATAGCTGGATAGATAGATATTTCACTTTGAAGAACAGCATCTTACCCCGTTGGCAGCTGCCATCTGAACGATGACTTCGGTCGCTGCCCGGCTAAAGTATCTTCCATCGCTGCCCACCACCATAGTGCATCCCTGTCGGTCCCTCAGGTCGATGGAGGACAGCACACTCTGGATGTAGTTTTGAAGATAGTTGTTATTGCTCTCGAACACTGCAGTCTTCTTTCGCAGCCCGTTTGTACCTGGTCTCTGGTCATCGAAGGGTGTAGTTTGGATGGTCAAAATGGGTATAGGGTTTGTCTCCATGATTTTCTGAAAAGCTTCGGGGTGGTAAAATAGTGTCTGTTGTTGAATGAGGTGCGAGAGGTTACTCTAAATCTCGTCAAAAGCACCCGAAGAAGTCGATAGAGGCAACAGAACGAGCGTTTCAGTCGGAGTGGATTATTTGAGACGCGTCCCGTGACGCTTCTTTGGAAAACTGGTGTACGACAGCTGTCTTCTCATCGCACCGGGGCAGACTGGGGTGTAGAGGCGCAGAAAGCTGATGTAAAAGAAGTATCCAAATCGTGGTCTAACGTTCACTGAAACTTTTCTTCTCAGTGTTACGCGCACGGTTGGTTGGCATAAAGGGAAAGAGGGTTGAAGAAAAGTCTATATAATGAGGTAACGCACTGGCCAAAAATAGCCCATGATGTGGGGGAGCGAATAGTGACAGCGCGCTGCTGTGTAACCGGACGCCTCTGTACTGTCCGGGGACGGGGAGCACTGGACCAAAAAGGAGCGTGAACACAGAGCAAATCTCACCTGACGCAAATTTGAAACATTCATAAAATGTTACAGAAATAAAAATAAATACATTTAAACACAAGAAGAAAGGCAAAAATTCCCGAAGTTGCCAAAAGACCATTAAGCTACTAAAAAATATTTACATTTATTTAAAAATGTACAAACAAACAAGTAAACACATTTCAGTAGGCTTTTAATAAGCTGTAAAACACTGTATTAAATAAATAAATAATAATAAACAATTCGTTTTAATATACGTTTTGTTATAGAGTTAAATTATTATATTCACATTAATAAATACCTATATGAAAATGAAAATATTGAATGTACGAAGATTCGTTCTTTTTTGTATAATCTAAATAAATGAACAATGCAAATAAATAATTTTGTGAATTCTGTTGTTTTATTTTGATAACTAAGCACCACAAACCCATTTTGCCATTTAATAAAAATACTAAACTAGACATGCTGTTCTGAGGATAAGGATGTTTAGAGACTAAAATGTTAAGTTGCGACATGTCACAAATGTATCAATGTGTATCAGTATTCAATCAAGCACGTGTTATGAAATCAAAGCATTGTTACTGATTTTACGAGCTTTAGTCTCCATCTAGTGGACATGAGAGAAATCGTCTTGCAAGCAAAAGGAATCATTACGGGCTATTATAAACTAATCTAAAAATAAATTACCTACTGAACGCACATGTATTTGCAGTCTTTTAACAAATGAGGAAGGACTTTATATTTATAACGGTATGCCTATTAAAAAGCGTGGATAAACACAAATTACTGTTTAAAGTTCACATTTGTTCAGCACATTTATTTGTTTGAGTTTAAAGTTGGTCAGCAATTGTGGGAAAAAAAACAATAAATTATGTATATTTCATATGCATTTAGGCATAATCAAAAATATAACAAAAATGTGTACATCCCACAGAGCATGGGTTCCTGACGAAAAAAAAAGGTAAACAATAAAAAGCCTAGTAAACTAACTTTACAAAACTTTAAAACTATATTCTCCTTTATTACGCAGATTATATATATATATATATATATATATATATATATATATATATATATATATATATATATATATATATATATATATTTTTTTTTTTTTTTTTATTTAAGTCAGCAGTTGTTTAATAGCTGCTTGTATTCAACAATAAATCGTAAACGCACTTTGCTCAATTTAGCTATATATTACCACCTCCAGAAGAACTTTAAAATGTCTTTAAAACCGTGTTAAAAAGCAAATAATAAAGGAACAAATAATCTAGTTGTAAGTTGTTAAACGACTCAGTAAGTTAATACAATTAAACAATTATCCCACTGACTTTCACGTAAGATACTCTATGGGCCTATATATTTCACATACATCCATTTATTATCATCAGTTGTTAAGACACTTATAATATATAGTCTAGTCTATATTTATTTACTTGCATTTATTTTTATCCTGTTCAACATTCCAACTTTTACAACAAAATCTAAAAATAACTCGTTTTTTTAAGATGTGACCTAAATAAACATCAGACTATGAAAATCCCAAGTACGAATAATGAGAACACACAATCGAAGTTGTGACTTATAATGGTTTATTCAAACAAGCTTTTTAACACATCCAATACTAGCAAATATATTACCATTTATTTATTTATTTACATTAAATCAATAAGAGCAATGACAGAAATTTCTTATTTTACAAGCCTATGTAAAGCCTATTTAAAACAACAAGAGTTCTTCCCAAACACAGTTCAACAGTGAGGATAAACCATCCGAAGAGTCTCCGAGAAAGGAACAGTTTTGAGCAGAGGAGTCCTTGTTGGCACCGGTACCAAACTTGGTGCCACACACGATGTTGTCGGCCTGGGAAATACAAAACTATAGTCAGGCGTAAGGTGATGAGCAGAGCTTTTGCTGGAAGACTCCGTTGATTTGGCCATAATGCTGTCAATGCTGAATGAGCACCTCTGGGTTTTGTGTTCGGGCCTTTGCTGGATTTCTGGAGCGTCGTGGATTTTAATGTTCATAGTTTGATATTGAAAAAAGGGAGGTGGCACCATGATGCCATCGGGCACTGGCAAATATCCAACAGGATTAGTTTGGGCTGGAACTGCCCCAGAAACACAGTAAGGTCGCCCATATGCCCGATAACTCAACGTTGGATGGTAAAGCACCAGGCTGTCTTTGGTGAACTCGGGCTGGTTCCTCTTGAATCGTTTTCTTCTGCGCAGAAAGCTGCCATTGTCAAACATGTCCTCAGATGCAGGGTCCAGGGACCAGTAATTCCCCTTCCCGGGGTTTCCTGGCTCTCGTGGGATCTTGATAAAGCAGTCGTTGAGCGATAAGTTGTGTCTGATGGAGTTCTGCCAGGCGGGGAACTTCTCCTTGTAGTAGGGGAACTTGTTGCTAATGAAGTCGCAGATGCCGCTGAGGGTGAGCTTCTTCATGGGGCTCTGGAGGATGGCCATAGTTATGAGGGCGATGTACGAATACGGAGGCTTGACGGAGGAGCTTTGTTTCGGGGCGACGGTGCTGCTGGCGAAGCCGCTCTCGCTCTCCCCGGAGGACTCGGACCCTGAATGGTCCACCTCCGTGGGGTCCCGCATGAAATACTCGCGCTCGCTGTCACTGTGGTCTCCTCCTACAATGTCTATTTCATCGTCTTCTGGAGAGATTGGGGTGCGCTGCACTTGTTCGTAATCCTGCGAGAGGGTCATGGTTGGAGACCCTAAATGTGCTGGACGCGAATCGTAAAGGTTGAGGTTGGTTTGCGGGACACATGGAAATGAGGGCTATTTATGAGGGGCCACACGCATTCAGTCTTTGGTCCGCCGACGGTCAAACCAATGGGAGTGGACTGTCACCACAGGGGACTCTGGACAGTCGGGCAGGTGTGGGGGGATTTGACCCGTTTAAACAAAACAATTCGTCCATATGAGATGCGGATCCTAAACATCCCATTAACACACCGCATGGGCGCTGCACTGATATGCGACGAGGAGATGGCGCAATAAATGTGCTGTTATCAGCCATTATAATAGCCTAATGTTTGTTCTAAAAAAACATCTAAAATGCCAACATATTTTTTTTCATTCGTTTTGGCGTTTTTACAAAGGCTCTTTCATATTTAATTAGTAAATAATGAACATTAATTATGTCCTTATCGAAATAACCTTTTAATCAATTAGGCTAATTTTAGACCTCAACGCTCTTACAAATTGATTCTTAAAACGCATTTCCAAAATGCTTTATATAGGCTATACTTTGGAAAACCAGTTAGTCAACTATTTTCTTGAATGCTTAGCTGATATTTTCTAAAATGTCAAATAAAGAGAAAAGAAAACTGAAAAAAAAAAACAACAACATTGCATATTTTAGGCCTACCCAACGTTGAGGAAACACTGTAAAAAATCCCTTATTTTAGCTGAATGAAATTAACTTTGTGTCCAATGAACTTATATTAAGTTAAACTGACTTAAAACAGCTTGTGTAACTTCATAAGTTAATCATGTTCCAACTTAATTTTATAAGTTAGGCTACAATAAACTAAAAACATATATGTCGTCATGACCATTGATCATATATTTTTACAGTGTGGTTATTTTAATGTAGCTATACAAATATGCATTTTTTGTTTTTTGTTTAATAATATTTTCTGAATACCATCCAAACTAGTAAAAGTAGAAGTAGTAGTAAAACTAGTTAATTGGTCATTAGTTTATAACTGTAAATGAAAAAAAAGAGAAGAAAAGCACATAACCGAGACAAACAGCCAACAATTTATTATTGTATTAATTTATAAAATTTGGTGGGCTATTGTAGGCCTAAACTTTGTTTATATACACTTAATGTGTAATGTTTACTTAAACATAGTTTAGTGTTAAATCGATGTAACGAAAAGTAACAGTAATATGACTTTGCAATTAAAAAAGGCGTACTTTCACATTTTTAAGTAGCCTTGCCTAATAAAATTGGATAATTAATAAATAAAATGTAGCCTTAATGTTGTTAAACAGGAAGTTTAGCCTAAAAAATCTGCTTTCATTTTTTCTACTTTTAATGTGGACAAAATGAAAACATTAAAATGTTCCGAACTCTGCGTTAACTTGGTCATTTAATTTAGCCTACTTGGAAATACAATGTTGATCTTTTTAAGGATTCTTCTTTTCATTCAGAAGCCGGTTCGCGCAGTGGGAGCTGGGACGTGCGATGGTGAATTTTCACACCACGCCTAACTACCGGTTTAAAAGAGTGATTTTCCCCCGATACCCCCTGGGTTTCGTTTGGTTTGTCACCTAAAGAACCCCGCAGGTGGTGTGACCATGAAAATGGCCGTGGCCCGGGACCCCGCGGCGACATAAGAAAGCCGGTAAACGAGCCTATCAACATCAGAATCAAATAGGAAACGGCGCGGCTTTAGGCTTCGGGCCAACAGCGAGTTTTATTGGAGGGTCTGAATGAGCTCAGCAATCCTCAAAGCAAACCTTCTTGTGCTCGGATATGTGTTAAAACCGTTCCCGGTCATCTCAATTGCAAATGAAAGGGTCGGAGCCCACCGTCCACTTCCTCAGCTGTGGATGGTGTGGAAATGGATATGTGTCAATTTATGAAGGTACTTGAAAGTTGTGTAAACTAACAGAACTGTTTACAACGCTCATTCACTCATACGGCGGTGTAAAGAAATCCAAATAAATAAATTGATCTCACAGAGTTTGTAGTGTTTGATGAGGGCTTTAATAACGCAAAGTGTGAAAGAAGGTTTGGCAAATAATGCAGAATGTGATAAATAATTGTGATAAAGTCGGGAAATTGCGAAATTATGCTATATAGCCTATAGGTTTGGTCATATTACAACAGGCCATAACTTAAGCTTTAAGAAAAAAGACAAATATTTAAACATTTAATTAATGGAAATGCTAAATATTGTTAAAAAAACTCTTTCCAACAGTAAAGCTTTTAAACATTTACATAATTTTTTTTAAAAAGATGGTGAATGTATAAATATTTTATGTTCATAATGTACAAAAAAGTAAACAACAAAACTATATATACATATATATATATATATATATACACACGCACGTGCACACACATCAAGTCTATTGTAAACTTTGATTTAATAAAAATTAATACAAATGATTTGTAAGTTGGTAACTTTAAACATTAAGAATAAATTGCTAAATATTTATGAAATGTAAATTAAATACAAGCAAAATACTGCATTTGTTTTTTTTTTGTTGAACTTTTTGTTAAATCTACTTTTACATATATTTGGAAAATGCTGCATTGAACCTTATGTAACATTATTACTTAAATAGTTGTTAATGAATGAAATAAATACAAAATATTGAGAAAACTTTTTTTGTTCAACAGGAAGATTTTTTTTACCTTGAACTTTTTGTGCATCTTGTTAGTTAAACCTTTCTTTTACTCTTAATTATCATAATGCTTAAGACACCAAAGATACTCAAAATGTCAACTCTGACAAACAGCTTTTGCAATGCATGTTAAATTTCCATTTTCACCTTGTCACACACAGTGTTAAGTGGGTGATTGTACTGATGGTTCTCACATTGAAAAAAGACCACATTTAACACATTAGAAGAGTAAGAAGTAACTCAAAACAACATTTATTTCACTGGATGCTGTTATCTTACACTTTACACTGTGAAAAAGCCTTGGGAAATTGAGCAATTGACCACTCAAATGAGTTGTTTAAATAACAAGATAATCTTAATATAAACACTAGGGAGTTTGCAGTATTTCATTTTTTATGAAATGTGAAGACTTGTATTTGCAGAAAACCATAGTGAACATGTAAAATAAATTACAATTTGTTTTTAAGAAAAAAAGAAATCTTTTTTTTTAGACATTTCACATTTAGTGAAAATGTTGTCACTTTTTGTGAAATGGCCAAAACCTTAAAGCTGTTATTCATTTGAGTGGCAAAAAAAACAGCTGTGCTTTTACAGATTTTACCAATGTTTGACAAGATCACCTACTCGACGCTGTCTTTATTTGACACAGCGGAGATGAACTCTTTCTTTAGAATCTCACCATCAAGGTTTCGACCTGAAGTGAAAAGAGATTAAATGTTACATTTTGCCTTGAACACATAAAATTTGTTTTTAAGGCTGGACACTTCAAGTAAACACACTTAATTTTTTTCCATAGATCCTTCAAATAAGCCTTTATTTGAGCCTTTTGAATTTTTATAAACAAATAAACAATACTTTTTGAACCTGACTTCACTAAACATTCAGTAATGTATGTAATTCAGCGCATATTTAAATGAAATAATGCCTCAGTTGCATATTTAAACATAATAATTTAGAAAACTTGTCTTACAAAAAATGTGTGTCAACTTAGGATAGTGAAAACTATTAGTTCATTTTTTACCTAATTCACCTACAATAGAGTACTGCTTTAAAGCTTTCAACAGGAAAATTTTTATTCATATATATATATATATATATATATATATATAGGCACAGATTTACCTATAAAGACGAGACGGTTGAGTCTTGGCTCTTGATCTGCCCAAAACTCTGGAGTCTCTTCCAGCTCATAAAGTTCATGGACACCCTGCAACATCACCTTCTTCTGCTTCTGCTGGAGCGAGAGGATCCCCTGAAACAACACATCCAAAACTTCTTAAAGACTTATAATAGATCTGATAAATATTTGAGTCTTTGTATGTGACAATCTGTTAGGAGATTAAAAGAGGATAAGAGGATAAAGTCATGGTTTTGAAGGATTATTAGGAAATATATTCATTACAATGACAATTTTTTTACACTGTATAATTAGAAAAATATAGAGATAAATGACAAAATATGCTCACCTTTAACCGAATAACTGTCATTGGCAATCCTGCTTTGTTCTTAAATGTTTTTTCCCAAAGAAGTTCCTAAAAAATAACCAAACAAAATGAATAATTAAATAAAATAAACAACAATAATATATATATATATATATATATATATATATATATATATATATATATATATATATATATATATATATATATATATTTTATACACACACATGCACACACACCTTAAGTTAGAGTTATTAGCACCCTTTGAATTTTCCTAAATTTTTAACCAATGATGTTTAACAGAGCAAGAAAATTTTCACAGTATGTCTGATAATATATTTTTTCTGGAGAAAATTTTATTTTGACTAGAATAAAAGCAGTTTTTAGTTGTTTAAACACCATTTTAAGGACAAAATTATTAGCCCCTTTAAGCTATATTTTTTCGATAGTCTACAGAACAAACCATCATTATACAATAACTTGCCTAATTACCCTAACCTGCCTAGTTCACCTTATTAACTTAGTTAAGCCTTCAAATGTCACTTTAAGCTGTATAGAAGTGTGTTGAAAAATATCTTGTGAAATATTATTTACTATCATCATGGCAAAGATAAAATAAATCAGTTATTAGAGATTATGCTTATTATTAAATTTATTATGCTTAGAAATGTTTTGAAATAATATTCTTTCTGAACAGAAATTGGGGGAAAAATGAACAGAGGTTTTAATTATTCAGGGGGCTAATAATTCTGACTTTATCTGTATATGCACACACACACAGTGTATAATGTTGTTTCTGTACCTGAATAAATATATTTAAAAGATCTTCTGACACACTGCCAGGTACTTCAAATGTTATAGTCAGCATACTCTGAAATAATAAAAGGAAATTAAACAGTTCAAAACTTGAAATATTTTTAAAACACTTTGAAAAGAAGAGTTTTATGTTCACCATTCAGAGAAAACTTTAACACAGAGAATGAACACAAATTTAGCAAATAACTGTGAGAAACCAAAGACAACTTCTAAATCACAATTCACTGATTTTTTATATATATATATATATATATATATATATATATATATATATATATATATATATATATATATATATATATATATATATATATATATATATAATCAATATATATAATATTATTATTTACATTTACATTGCATGCTGCATTGAAAGTATAACTTTTTAAGCCCACAACTTCAGCTGTAAAAATAAAATGGCAAATTATTTCTAAACAAATAAATGAAAAACAAAACACAAAAGATAATCATTTAAAATAAATACAGTTTGAATTAATTTTAAGAATTAATAATATTATTTGGATTTGGATATTATTTTAGACAAAATTATATTACCACTGGTAAAATTGTGATGTGATTGGTTTCAATTTGTTAAGACAGTAAAACATATATATTTGAAATGTTACACTGTAAATTGGCCTTTCTCTTCTGGTGACTAAAATGCTCTTACCAAATTAAACAATTATGTTCTTAAAACAACACCAAAATAAATAATTACACAGTTGATGTTTTAACACCATGCAGGAAATTCTACAGGGAAATTTAAAATTCCATATAAGCTTTTTAAAGTTTGCTTTAGATAAAAACTTTTTAAGAACTTTAAGACGGATTCAAATGGATTTCACACCAGTAGGACAATTATAAGTGATTTGAATAATTTCTGTTTATACACCAAAACATTTCTAATAGCATCAGCCTTCTTAAAAGCGTCAGTACGACACTTGAATAAATTTCCCCTTGGTGAGAAACACTTGTACTGCTTTAGCGCCCATTCTGCTGGCCCTCTCTGGGGCGTTACATGGGCCCTTTACACATATTTAAACCATTGTTTGTCTGTGTTAAAAGTTACACACTTCCTTTTTTCCCCTGGAATAACAAGAGAAAACAGGGCTCTCATTTACATGAAAAGAGCAGTGAAGGGGGAGGGCCACACAGAGCCGAGGTGCATGCGGGAAACTGACCCATCTAATGATAAGAGCTCCAGCCGAGAGTTTGCTTCAAGGAGAGGAGACCGTATTTAAACAAACCCTTGTTGAAAGAGAATCTATTTTTCCAGAAAACAGAAAAACAAATGCGATTTTTACCTTGTCTAGGTGAGGTTGGCTTGTTTTTACCAGCTGCAGCTTTTTGGTTAACCTGCAGAGCACAAGATTTCAAGATCTTTCAAGATTTTTGAACAGCAGAAAAACTTAACTTCTAATTTAATACTTTCCCCAATTCATTGCTTATAATAAGAATTATAATATTTATATTTACACATTCCAAGCACAAAATCTGAACATTTGAGGTGATAAAGTCAAGTTTAAACACTCTTGATGTTTCTTTTGTTGACATCTTAGTCAAATGTTTTCGTAAAGGGGTTTTTACACACACTGTAAAAGACTTTAAACTTAAAAAAACAAAAAGCTGAGTAAACTCATTGCTTTTATAGCAATTGGTTGACAACAAAAAAGTAAGTAAACCTGTCATCCTAAAGAGTAAGTTAACTAGGTGCATACTTAAAAAAAAAGTTTTTTAATTTTTAAAATTTAAAGGTTGAAGTAACTAAAAAGCAGCTTTTTGCATCTCGACTCACTCAATAATTCAGAAAATAGTAAACAATTTTTTTATTTATTATTACATAAAATACACTGTAAAAAGCGATTACTTTTGCCTTAAAAGCAACATGTTGATTTTACTTAAAAAGGCAGTAAACCCATTGATTTAACTTAACTTGTATAATTATGCACATACTTTTTTTTACTTAATAATTTTAAAGCAATGAGTTCAGTCTCCCTTTTTAAGGTAAAACCAACTAATCTACAAGTGTCTTTACTTTAAAAATTTATATATGTATATATAAGCAACAAGTTGATTTTACTTTAACGCATAGTAAACGCATTGATTTAACTTAACTTTTGACAGTTTGTTAGTTTAATCTCCTTTTTTAAGTAATGCCAACTAATCGCTTTTTACAGTGTATACAGCAGGCATGGACCGGTATAAGATTCTGACAATATGATAACCATGGATAAATAATATCACGGTTTCACAGTATTGTTATTACTTGCCAAAAATATGTGTTTTTTAAATATCCTAGGAAAACAGTTTTTGTTGTTTTTTACCCAAACATTTAAAAATATATTTTTTTTTATATTAACACAATTAATTTTATTTTTAAGAAACATTTTAAATGTTTTGGAACAGTAACCATGTTAGGCAAAATATTTAAAATAATTGACTTCTGCTGTCTTCATTTTTTTACTATTATTTTTATTTATTACTACGATTTTTTTACAACATAAAAAGGCATTTTTGAATATTTTGCTTTTTTATTTGGATATAAAAGTAAGCCACTGCACTGTTCAGATTCATAGCATGCCTGGATGTTGGTTTATAAGCAATTTGTTTTTCAAATTTTTCCTGAACTGTGGGTTGACCTGTAGCTTTTGATGTGGATGGCCCTTTTGTGCTGGAAATACTATCGTCATAAAAACAATGTAAACACAGTTGAAGTCAGATTTATTAAACTCCCCTCATTTTTTTCGTTTCAAATATTTCCCAAATGATGTTTAACAGAGCAAGGACATTTTCACTGTATGTTTGATAACATTATTTCTTATCGTGAAAGTCTTGTTTTATTTCGGCTATATAAAGCAGTTTTGAATTTTTTAAAAAACATTTTAAGGTCAAAATTATTAGCCTCTTTAAGCTATGTTTTTTTTTTGATAGTCTACAGAACAAACTATCGATATACAATGACTTGCCTAATTAACCTAATCTGCCTAGTTAACCTAATTAACCTAGTTAAGCTTTTAAATGTCACTTTAAGCTGTATAGAAGTGTCTTGAAAAATATCTAGTTAAATATTATGTACTGTCATCATGGCAAAGATAAAATAAATCAGTTATCAGAAAAGAGTTATTAAAACTATTATGTTTAGAAATATGTTCAAAATCTTCTCTCCGTTAAACAGAAATTGAGGAAAAAATAAACAGGGGTCTAATAATTCTGACTTCAACTGTATACCATAGGAACGGTATAACCAAAAACTTTAACGGTTTTAAAATCTTGACTTTTTTTAAACCGCTGTAAACATTGAAACCGGTTATCGTGCCATGAATAGGCACGATATAGAAAAATTCAATGTATTGTATATATATTCTGATAAAAAAAAAAAAAAACAATACAGTGGAATTAATTAAAATAAGGTGTGGTGAATTAAAGTTCTGCAAAAGTGGATATGAATAGCAAATTTTCAGAAAATTGTGTATAAAATAATGAATTATTAATGAAACATTAATGTCAACATACAAAATCATACAATGCAAAAAAAGAAACATATATAACTTAATTTTCATCAAACTGAAAAACATTGTGTAACAGCACTAAGTGAATGAAAACTATTGATTCTTTAATGAAATAGTCGACTCAGACTTCATAAACGAATCGTGTTGGGTTCGGATCTTTTGCCTGAACGCATCAACATGGTACGTAACCAAATATGAACGCACGTTAAATCTTTATGGGCTATTTCACATATTGCGTCCAAAACCACGCAAAATGTGACACGCGCTTCCTCCTTTACCGATTTATCTTCCTCTGCCGTTTGCCTTTGCTATGGCCACCATTAGCTGTTCCTACACACGGCAAGGTCAATTTTCAAAATAGTTTCCTATAACTTTTTCCACTGTGTGGTTTAATACTGAATATGTGTTGTTGTTATTACTTGAGGTTAGGTTTAAGAGTAGAGTAATATGCTGGTGTTTAACTGCATTGCTTTATTGTATTCCTACATTGGGCTCTCACAAACTCTGTGTGCTACTTCATAGCCATGGTGGGCATTTCTCTCTGTCTCGTGCTGAACTTAGTCGACCAATCACAACAGACTGGGTCATTGGATCAATCACCGTATATTAGCCTCATGCAAAGGAGAGATTTGGGAACCAAATAAACACTAAACAAATCATATGGGAGTCATTGGGATAATTATATAAAAATAAATGCATATTATAAGACAATGAAAGTGTTTTTTGACCTTGCATGCAAATCAGCCTGTTGTTGGAGACCCCAAAACCAAAATATGACTGATTATGATGCAAAATAAGGGCCCTTTAACAAAAAGCCCAAAATGTTTTTGTTTTTTTTTGCCTGCATGTGTCTGGCTTAAACACAAGACTGATTGATGTCAAATGCTGTCAATAAACAACATCCTCTTTTGAGCATCAGACAGATGTACAGTCTCAGCTAAAACCTTTCAAAGGGGTTCTGACAACACCGACGGCCCTTAATCCCGCTGCTGGTGTGATGCGCAGAGGCTTTTGGCTTTAGCAACTGTAAGATTGAGCTTAACAGAGAAAGAAAGAAAGAAGAAAGCGTGTGAGAGCTGGGTTTTGACCCCTCAGGGTGGGCAAACGTAGCTGTGTGGATTATTCGTCAGGCTGTGAGTAGCCAGAGGGGGGTTCATCCCAGACAAGCAACCCGGGCTCGGAGGGGGCAAATGGGCCACGGTCAGGGCTGAAAGGAGGTGTTGTGTGGAGGTGCTTCTGTACTTTTAACTACGGACAGCGGTCATAATCCTCCGCAGCTGGGCTCAGCCATTCATATTTACTCCGTCTCACTGTAATTACTCCTAAAAAGAGGTTCATTTTTTTTGTTTAAGTCATTAGCATGAGGTAATAGAGTGTTTGATCTTTGGCAGATACACATAATAGTCCTCTGCTGAATAGATTTGCAACTGTATACTTCAGTGAGTGTAATTGTTGGAAGTTTTCTTGCAGGAAAACGCTTACCTTTCACCATCTTTAGTGTCAAAAGAATGCAAGTCTAATACTTCAGATAGATCAACCCTGTGGAGAGGGAAAACACAAATAAAGTGAATCATTTATTTATACATTTTATCTGTAAGTAACAGATAAAATAATGGTTGAATACACCTACAGATAATATTTGTTTAAGGTAAAAATATGAAAGGAGATGTAATCAAATAATAATTTTATTTGATTTACATTATTACGAGATAATTTATCTTATAGTAGGGTTTTTTTATTAAGAAAAAAATCTGAAAAATGTTAATACAAAAATATGAAGTAGTTTTAACATCGAGAATAACAATAAAAGTTTCTTGAGCACAAAAATCTGCATATTAGAATGATTTAAGAATAAAACAAACTCAGCTGTGCCATGACAGGAATAAATTATACTTGAAAAAAATATCAAAAACAAATCACAGTCATTGTAAACTGTACTTTTTTATTGCAATTATTGCAAAAAGATCAAATGAATGAAGTCTTGGACACACCATAAGAAATTATATGTGTGTGTGTATATATATATATATATTAGACTAATATCTGATTAATCCTGCTTTAAATGTATGTTGAAAGATGTTTGCAGCATGCAGGGTCTTGTTCACATAGATTTAAGTTTAAAAATACATTATGATACAATGTGACATATATTTTGTCTTCTCACCTGGACTTTTGTGTCTCCAAAATCTTTACAAGTGCATTTATTGATCTATAATGAAGAAGAGAAATGTGAGGCAAACACAAGGAAGTCTATAAAATAATTATAATAAATATTTTTTCTAGTACGTAATGCAGAAAGAAAATGTCCATTTTATATACTATACATTATAATGTTGATGCATGAATATACTTATATAGTAGATCAGTTAATAAAAAAACAATTAAAACATTTAAATGATTCATTTTAAAGATAAAAGTATTGATTATGCTTCGAAATGCTAATTTAATAATTTTAAAAATAAAAGTTAATAATAAATTGTCATAATAATGCAATACTAATAAATGTAATAACAAATCTCAAAATAAATAAGATTGTTTTTCATATTGATTTATATGTTGTGATGCTGATATGTACTTGTATCATTTATGGATTTTAATTAATTAATTTATTTAGATAATAATAACAGTATAAAATGCTATTAGTACTAATATATTCTATAAAATACCAATAGTATAAAATGTTAGAATTTTGTCCATTTGTCGTTGAAACCCTTATTAGCAATATCACACAGAAATATGATTATCAGTACATGTCTAATAAGATATTTTTACATTTATTTAAACAACATAATATTACTAGAATTGACCAAATATTGGTTTAATATTCATTGCTCTCTCAGAATCAGCCAGACTTTAAGACCTGTATCTCTAATAACAAAACACAAGAGTATATAACCCTCCAGTTCTCACCTCACTGTATCTCTGAGCTTCAGCAGCTCCGTCTCATGCACCAGATCAGTCTTGTTGATGATGGTAAGATCAGCGAGAGCAATCTGTCTAAAAACAAAAATAAAAGACAGAAAAATTCAAAACCATTCACAACTACCCGACAAATGCAGCCAAACTAAACCTAACCTTCTATACGACAAAGGCTGTCGACACCTCAGAGGGCCGCATATGGATTAATCGTCATAAAAAGCAAATCTCCAGCTGCTGTACACAAGTATGTGTGATTGGTCGTACAATACATCAATAGAACAATACAGTACTCTTGTCACTCTCTTTATTGCTCAGTGTTGAATGTCTCACTCTCTTTTTGTATATAAATGTGTCTGAGTGTGTTGTTGTTTAATTTATTGATATACAGTATTAGGGTTTCAGCTATCTCTTTTAATCCCCCCATAAATATTAAAGAATACAGTAGAGAGGCAGAAGTAAATATATTTGCACCCTTTTTTGTGGATTAATATGCTGTATATAATCAGGCAAATTGTGTATAATGAAACGCCTGTTTAAAATTCTTTAGTAAGCAGATATGAACAAACTGTGCAGTTTGGTGTGTGTAAAAGCTGATAAAGTCACGATTTATGTGTCAATGCAGGAAATAAACTTATTTTTGAGAAAATTAACAGCAAGATTGTGTTCTAATTGAAATCACAGCCACCTCAGTGCATATCCAGTTCCTTACAATCAAACGAAACATCAATAGAACAATACAGTACAGAAACAACTCTCTCTTTTCTCACTCTCCTCATTGCTCAGAGCTGAATGTCTCACTCTTCCTTTCTATCTAAACGTGTTTGACTTTTTTGTTTTTTAACATATGATAATGAAAAGCTAACAGCACATTTGAGTCTCTTTATCAGTCCATGATAAAAAAAAACTGAAATCAGCCAGAAAAAAAATTAAATCATACTTTTGTAGAAAAATATTTTTGTATATATAAATTTGTATAGTTTTGTATGAACAAATTTCCCTTTACAAACCTTCAGCATGCAAATATTAATAAAACTAAAATCTGGCGTCTAGAAGTGCCATTGGAAGGAAGGTTTAGAGTTCAGTGCAAGAGAGCAAGTCATATGAGATTTGAATAAAAAAATATGTATTTTTTTGCAGTTTGTAATGCAGCTGTCCTTCACTGGGTTCCACACAACCTATTTTTTGTTAGGACAACATGAAGGAATTAAGTTAAATGATAAGTTTAAGTAGTAGTTTAAGTACAAATTTAAGTAGATTGAACATAAAACAATTCATTTGTCCCCACAAAATGCATAAGAATATTGTTGTTTCAGCTCAATTTATATAAGTAGTTTGAACAAACAGCAAATGTAAAGTCTGCAAAGTTGTTCATTAAAAAGGTGCATGATAAACACAAATATTGTCTCACAAAAGAAACAATTTTCTAATCTTTTGGATGCTACCGATTTATGTCAACATGATCAAAGTAATACATTTGTTTATTTCACGACACAAAAAAAATCTAAACAGACTATGCCAGCTGACCAATCAGAGCAGAGCTGGCTTATGCAAGGGAGGGCTTTACAGACCTTTTGAAGAGTTTATTCACACAAAAATGACAATCCTGTAAATAATTACTTACTTGCATGTTTTTTCAATCACGAGAGACCTTCGTTCATTTTTGAAACACAATAAAAGGTTCTTTTGGATGAAATCTCTGGCCTCTGTGATCCACTATACACTCTCAGAAAAAAGGTACACAGTGGTACAAATAATGTTCCTTGTGGAACAGTTTTGTACCTTTGTAAAGACTTACTTTATATCTGTACTTTATACGGTACAGAAAAGACCTCTTATTATACTGTTCTGTACCTTTTGTGGTGAACTGAAATGAAGGAACACAATTGTTCCCATATAAAAGATACAAAAGTGTTGATCAACTTTTTCTTTATTACAATACCTATGAAAATAAAAATGACTGGAAAGGCAAAGTGATTTGATAAATTATTTCTAGAAGAAAGAGAAAAACATTAATTATTAAGTTCTATAACAAAATATTACAGAACAACTGGTAAAACATACAGGTATATTATAGGTGTTGTAAACTAAACATTAAAGGCATTTTAAATAAATGCTTTGTAAGCATTTTTGACACTGTTTGGGTACAAATTGTCTTGTCACTGTTGTGGTATACCTTTATAGATAATATGTGTACCTTTAATGAAGGTACGATTTTGTATATGCAGGTTTTAAAAATCAAAGGTAAATTTTGGTTTCCAATGGTACAAATAATGTCCTTTAAGGTACAAACTGCAACTTTACAAATATGTTTCTTTGTCTTAAGGTACAATTCTGTCCCATACAAAGGTATGGTCTAAGGTATGTCTAAACAGAAAATGTGTCTTTAGTTGTTCAATAGGAAGATTATCAAGCTATACTTTTGTGTGCACATAAGACTTTTTTTCAACAGTTTGTTCTCCTCAGTAACAGTATAGCGCACATATTCAACTTCGACTTCCTCTGTTTGAAACAAAGCACAGATCTGAGGTAAACGTCACCAGCGCGACTTGCATAAAAAGAACATCACTCTCATGAACATGCACATTATACTGAAACTGAGGAGAACAAACTTTTGAATAAAATTGTTGTTTTTGTTTTACGGTTTAGGATTTTGCAGGTTTCACCGAGTTAATTTTAAGACTTTAAGACATTTTAAGAGCATTACAATTGAAATTGCAGATTTCTTTTAGAGGGCTAAGGATTCTTTCCATTGGCTCAGTTGGAAAAGATTTTTACTTGCACTATTAAAACTATTATAATTCAGTTAATACTTAGCAACATATTTTAAACAATTTGTCAAAACAAACAGGCTCTAGTGTTTTTAGTACATCTTTTTCAACATAACCTTACTTTAAAACAATAAAAAGTAAATGGAGAAATGTTTAAAAAACTATATTAAGCTAAACGTATGCACAACAATGCCAGTGTCCTCAGCAGTATTAGTTAAATAGAGTTAAAATATTTTTTTTTAAATAAAAAGGTAAAAGTCTCATTGAGATGGATTGTTGGCGATTGTATGGGTATTGGCCAGATTAGGTATAGCTTTAGATGAATAAAGGAAAATTAAGACCTGTTTAAAATGATTTGAAACCTAAACAACACAATATTGCAGTAAATTTAAGACTTTATAAGGCCAAAAATTTAGTTTTTGAGATTTAAGACATTATAAGAATTGGTGGACACCCGGATGTTTGCACAAAATTATAGCATAATAATATCCATATTGACAGTCCACATATGGTCTGTTTCGAAGATTTCTTTGCTTTTTTCTGCACTTTAAAAAAGTCAGGACCATTGCTGCTCTCAGATTTCATCTAAAATATCTGAATTTTTGTGTTTTCTCTGTGATTTCTCTGTGTTCTGACCTTAGTTGGATTTAAACTGTTGTGGGGGAATATTAGGGCACTTTAAAATCCCACATGACCTTTTAAAAAAATACTCATTGTAATTAGAATCCAGTTGCCGCACTCAAGTATGTGTGATTACACTCATACAAAACATCAATAGAACAATACAGTAGAAGAACAGCTATTTCTCTTTTGTCACTCGGTTTATTGCTTAGCGTCCGGTGTCTCACTCTCCCTTTGTATCCAAATGTGTGTAAACAGTCTTTCTTGCGTCTCCTCCTTCCCCCTGCCTGTTGTCCAGTGGTCTGTGTGTGGCATGGTTTATGTCATACTCAAAAGGCGCCACCATTTTGTGATTTAGAAAAACATAAACAGAGAGCAGAAGCAGTTTTTATGGGCTCTGACACTTGTGAACATTCCAACGTGCCTCCAAACCCCAACAAAAACAAGCTGGACCGCAGCAGGTGAGGCAGGGTGCAATCGGATATGTTTTTGCACAAACATTAGCACCAGCTGTAATGTTTGATAGAGATAACAGGCCCAAATAGTGCTCTGAAAGACCACACAAGAGGGGCTTGTGAACATCTGACTTGGTAGATTTTTCAGTGATGGATAATGAGCATGATTCTGTACTGTATTTAAATGCTGATTAATTAGAAGTACGGTTTTACCTGGCAGCTTCATTGATAAGACCTTCAGGCTTTTCTTCTGTTAGATGCTACAAGACAAATAAAAATGACAATTTAATGACATTTAATGCAAATGTTTAGAATAAATGTGTTCGAAAAAATCTTATATTTTAGCAAAAACAACGAGTACCAAAAATACCTCCTTATTATACCAGCGTATTTGCAGGAATCCTACAGTTAATTTCAAAACCTTTTTGAACAAAATTTGAACAAAATTTAAGACCTTGCGATTAAGACCTTTTAATACTTTTTAAGGGCCTTAATTTTTCTATTAATTGATTTATCACATTTAATACTTTTTAAGACCCCGCGGACAAACTGTTAACAATTTTATTAATTGATTAAATTGTTAAATGGAAATATTGAGTAGTTTTTAATGAGCATGCATTTATAGTGTATATTACATTATATTGTATTATATTATATTATATCATATTATATTATTATACTATATTCTGTTCTATTATATTATAATGCCTAAACTCACTTTGCATTTAAAGTATTTCAAAATTTATTCATTTTGATTTTTAGTGTTTTTTGCAATTTCTTTATTGGTTATCAGCAATGGCAACATCGTAATAATAAAAAAATGTAATGAAATTAATTAATGATCATCGAGAACTGTAAAATCATCACATTAGTTTACAGCATTTTCATCAAAAACGTTTCTATGATTAATTTACATTTGTATGTTGTGACTTCTAAATTCAATAGCATTAATTGATTTTTACTTTTAGTTTTTTAACTTATTAGGACAAAATAATATAAATACCAGGCATTATATTATCTACTTGGGATAACAGCACTAAATAATTATTAAAAAACATAAATAATAATAATAGTAACAATTATGCTGTAAAACAGACACACCATTAATGTGTATATGTATCCTTTTATACAATGAAGTCCACTTTGTTATGCCTTAAAATAAAGCTAAATACTTTTTGATTTAATTTATTTTATTTATTTATACAGGGACAGTGTACAACAGGACATGTTGTGCCAAAGTTAACTATAAAGCTAATTTACATGTGTATACAGCTAATATACACTTACAATACAATTAATCATAGTTAATAAAATGAAATCAAATTCTTTAAGCCAAACTTGAAGCCAATTTCTTTGAGCCAAACTTTAGGAACAGTTTTAAAATGATTAAAAGTGGTACTCTCTCTAATATGCGCGGGTATTTTATTCCATCTTTCTGCTGCTGTTTTGTCCAGAAAACAGTTCTCTTGAGTTTAACTGATGACTAGTCCCACACGGAATCTGCACGAGCAGAAATCTGCAGATTTGTAGCCCATCATTAAGTCTATTTATTTACTTCTGTAAATGTGTGGAAATTTATACTTATTCAATTTTTTATATTATTTTCAGTAATATTATTGCCTTATATAAAATCGTTTATACTAATATGTGACTAATATAAATTTTTTTATATGGACAGAATTTCAAAGCGCAGCCTTGGGCTGGAGGGTGTCCGGTTCAGGGACCACAGGATTTCATCACTGTTATTCACAGACAATGTTGTTATGTTGGCTTTATCGAACATGGACTTTCAGCATGCACTGGAGCGGTTTGCTGCAGAGTGTGACACGGCTGGGATGAGAATCAGCACCTACAAGTTTGAGGCTATAGTGCTCCACCAGAAAAGTGTGGTTTGCCATTTCCAGGTTGGAGGAATGTACTACCCCAGATGAAGGAGTTCAAGTATCTTAGGGTTTTGTTCACAAGTGAGGGAAGGATGGAACATGAGATTGACAGGCAGATTGGGCAGCGGCAGCATTAATGCGGCCGATGTACCAGTCCAGTGTGGTAAGGAAGGAGCTGAGCCGAAAGCCGAAGCTCTCGATTTACTGGTCAATCTATGTTCCTACTCTCACCTATGGTCATGAGCTTTGGATCATCACAGAACGAATAAGATCTCGGATACAAGCAGCTGAAATTAGTTTTCTTCGAAGGGTGGCAGGGCGCACCCTTGTAGATAGGGTGAGGAGCTCTGTCACCCAGAAGGAGCTCGGAGTAGAGCCGCTGCTCCTCCATATCGAGAGAAGTCAGTGGCACGGGCTTCTGATTCGAACGTCTACCTAGGGAGGTGTTCCAGGTATGTCCCATCTGGAGGCCTTGGGGAAGACCCAGGACACGTTGGAGGGACTATGTCACTCGGAGAGGCTGAAGGAAGTGTCTGGGGAGAGGGAAGTCTGGGGTTCTCTCGTAAGACTGCTGCCCCCGCACCCCGGCCCCAAAAAAACAGTAGAAAATGAATGAACGAATGAATGGATGAAAACCGTCATATGATTTATTTACAATACAGCTAGTAAAGTAATATTCATGTCTTTTAAACTAAATAAATGAAAAAAACTCAAAGGTAGTATTTTTATGTCATATATTAAGTTTTTAGTTATTAAAAAAAGGTTTTAGTTATGATACTCCCAAAATCATATTGCATAAATCCGCAAACTTTTTTACAAAAATCTCAACAGAAATAGCATAGTGGCGTACCGCTTTTAAAGTGTAAAATAAGCTTTTTGTCAACTTTCCAATGTGCAATAAACAGTCAATTTAATTCATAACATAAAAGAAAATAAATAATTATTCAAGCAAAATAAGTAAAGTTGTTTACCAGACGTTTATGGTTGCCAAGCAACACAAGTTGATGCCAACAGATTTCAAATGATATTCGAGCCTATTTATAGTGGCAGCTCTGAACGCAAACCCAATTTCAGGCCAGAACAATTTTATTTTTAACATCCAATGCAACAAGAATATTTCCCATCTTATCCTCTGCTCTGTCCGGTTTCCCACCTGACAATGTCTTTAACATCACTCAGATCAGCAAACTGACACCTTTACTATTACAAGATGCATTTCTTTTTAAAAAAGAAATCCAATTTCCAGGAGACTATAACTTTAGAACAGTTTGTGCATTGAAAACAATCCTATTTATTTTCCACTACGTGTCTCCAGTGGTCTCTGCTGACCGTGTCTCATTGTCTGTCTTCAATACGTAATAACATTGAGACAAGTCTCATCATCTGTCCACACATTTCAACCCGACGCTAAAAAAAATCAAGGAACATGAAGACACCTGATGGGCATGTCAAACCCTCCACCTCTGAAACATCTCTTGTAAGGATGAACATATCAAATGACAATGAAAGAGCAGGACCAAGGCTGACAGGCCCATTAAAGTGATTTGCCTTGATATCCATTATTTCGTGGGTTTCTATGCATCTTCACCTCAACAGTCGCTGGCAAGACCCCGGAGGGCCGGAGTGTGGAGGTGCCAGCCCAGCAATAAAAAGTCTGACTCGACAGGAATGACACCACTGAATTGCAGCCTATTATCCAGGTGTCAGAGCCACTGTCCTGCTCCCATCCTGAGGTGTGAAGAGGAGCGGAGAGGGGGAGATGTTTCAGCGAGACACGATCTAGGCTGAGGATTAACACTTCATAAGCAGCAAATGTAAATAAAAATCTCAGTTTTTTAAAACTTTATTTTTAACCTTATTTTTATCAAATTGGAAACTTTTTGGCTTGAGACTTCTGGTCTCAATCACTTCCATTGGTTTTAGTTTGTTAGTAGGGATTTATCGAATTATTGGCCACTCTTTATGGACCCTTTTCAAATTTCCAGGTTTCTCAGTAGCCAAAGTTGTCATAGTTGGGTAAACTTAGAGCACAGTGAATAGGAAAGTACAACAAATATTTTTTTTACAATCTTATTTGCTGAAATGATGAAAGGAAAACTCCATTATGGTGTTATCAAGACTTTCAGAAAAAGGAAAGAAATTGTGTGAGACTGATAACGGCAACTAGAAGGGAGAATGTCAAATGTTCTGTCCTAGCCCCATAGACACAGCATTTCAAATGCCTTGCACAAGCAATAATTTGTTTTTTTGTCATTTGATAGAAAGGCATAAATACACATAAATGTTCATACGTTTAAAAAAAATCTAAAAATCAAAGACTTGTGAAAAGGGTCCATTGGGGACATTTTTGGCAGAAAGAGAAAAACATGAGCTGAAAAATAAAGGCTATGCTGTGCCGAACTGCATAGCAGTGTTCAGTGCGCTGCTTTCAATCTCCCTCCAGCTGTAGTCACTGTACAATGTGAAGCAGCTTTCACATTGGACAGGGAAAGCGCTGCGCTATGAAATTCATTCATTTGAATGACTTCTGCTACACAAGAGTGGTTTGTCGCTGCTGCGCTAACCAAAGTGCAAAAGCAGTGGAGTGCAACGTTGACTAGCCTGCACACATAATGTGGCCAATGTTCAAAAAAGCTCAAAATTCCCTCTGTGGATCTTCAATTTATGTACATGTATATTTACAGTCTCTCTGCATAACCCCCACATGCTCATCGAAACAGCAAAGTATGCTTAAATAAGTGCATTTTAAATAAGTGAATTTTCAAAGCACTTTTGGTTTTGGTTCAGCTTTTGAGCCAAGTGCATTTAGAATATTTGGTTTTGATTTCAGCCCAGAATTTTAACTGCAGTGCATCTCTACTTCTCATACCGAATATTGTTGCAAACTGGTATTTCCTTATTATATTATTTCTTTATGCATAGTCATAAACAAACTTGTTTGTAGAGTATGTAGTTTAAAAATGTTTACTGTTGTTTGTTATTCCTATTTATTTGGACATAAACATAAACGAAACAATACATATATGACAGTATATATTGATTTTTGTTAATGTTAAATAATGAAAATACAGTCATTAATTGATAGTGTTGGCTAACTCACTGTGCAATAACTAATGTTAGCAAGCAAAATTTGGATATTAATAACACATTAGTAAATGCTGAACAAACAATTAAAATACTTTTATGCTCATTAAAATGTAATTTATGAGAAATTCATAGATTTATTAACTTCTACATTATTCATTTAATAATATCTACATCTACATTTATTTATTATTATTATTTTTGTTCCATTTCCTTTGTTGTTTTTATTTATTGTCGTGGGTTATACACTGATCAAATGCAAACCCTGCCAATGCAATAAATTAAATAAAAAATTTCAACTTCAAACTTCAAAATTTCAGTTTACATATGTAGTTAGAGTGGTTTGATTGAACGAATCAACAACTCACCTGCAACCCATATTTAGCATCTATAACGGTAACAATACCTACATGGGAAATGAAAATACCTTATTATACTGACAATAAAACCACTAAAATATTTTCAGTTTTGGGTGAACTAACTCTTTAATCTGAGTCAGTTGCTAGCATAGTTTCTTACCGTCCAGGTAAACATCACTTCCTAATTCAGCATCAACCCAGAACATTGAGGCAACAGCTCCTGGTTTAAAAAAACATAAATAACAAAATCACAAAAGGCTAATGATGTGCGATTTAAACAGCTAACTACAGTCCTTTAACTATTTGTTGTAAATATAAAAAACTCAACTATATGATCGCTGTTAGAAAGTATTCCCAAAATGTTGTTTGTGCAGTAGAATATGTTTCATTTTGTTCAAATTATTAGACTGTGTGATCATGTTTATCAAACTACTGAACACTTTCTAGCCTTAAACCTGAAATAAAAGAACTCAAACAGGCTGTGGGTGCAGGTATGAATTTTACAGGCGGCTTAAAATTTTGCAGCTACAAGGTATATTTTGTTTGTTTCCATGCTTCCCAACTTTTCTTGTAAAAGTTATTTCACAGTTCTGTGTTACAATTTGAGGCCCTCTTGTTCGAATAATGGAGTTTTGTCAAACTGTCAGGGTAGAATAAGAAAGCACTATAAATTTTTGATAGAAGTGTAATGAAGGCAATGTTCCTGAAAGACATCAGATGCAGAAAGCGTTCAGCCCACAAGCATCTGCTGAGAAAGAGGGAGGGGTTTATCCCCCTGAGGCCCTGTGAGTGACAGGCCTGTCTCAGCCAATGACAGTGAAGAAGAGCTTGTGTCACTCATATACACCACCAGGCTGCAAAGATGCTGACCTTTCCTGCCTTTCCATTGATCTCGGTTTCACTATCAATTACCTCACAGTGAAGGAGAGAATTCACAAAGTTGTCCAAACTGTCTTTAGCAATATATTTATATCCCTTTAAATGTTATGATAAAATGTAACATTTAAAGGGATATTTCTTAAAAAAGCATGGTGGCTCAGTAGTTAACACTGTCGCCTCCTGGTCGCCTCACAGCAAGAAGGTTGCTGGTTCGAGACCCGGCTGGGTCAGTTGGTGTTTCTGTGTAGAGTTTGTATGTTTTCCCTGTGTTTGCGTGGGTTTTCTCCAGGTACTCCAGTTTCCCCCACAGTTCAAAGACTAATTTAGGTGAATGGAATTGGCCGTAGTGTATGTGAGGGAATGAGTGTGTATGGATGTTTCCATGTACTATTAACTTATCCCCTTCACTTGTAATAACCTGTATAAGTTTCTTTTTTTCTGTTGAAAACAAATATATATTTTGTGAAATGTCTGAAATAAGTAGCCTTTGACCTAAAAAAAAAAATACTACTAATATATAAAAATATTTTCTGCTGAGTTCAACAGAAGGATACATGTTTGAATAAGTGAGAGAATTTTCATTTTTGGGTGAACTAACACTTAAAGCAAGATGGATGACAGATGAGGAATCAATCCCAAAACTATTACATCGAAGAGGATTTTCTGTATGGGTATAATTTCTGTTTGTTGACGTGTACATGGGTTTTTTTTTAAAATGTGAACAATCTAACATATACTTTATACATAACTGACACTAAGTATGCTTTTTTTATCCCTTTGTCTATTTGTATTCATTTTCTATTTATTTGTGTATTTTTGTGTGTAACTGGAAAGGGTTGGAAATAATATTTGTTTCTATTTTCCTGTAAAACCATCCCACGATTTTTCTAAAAGTTTAATAAACAGATTTTAAGATAGAGAAAGGAATTCTCTGTTTGTGCAAGTGAAATACCTGGATCGGCCAATCCGGTTGTTTCTAGAAGGATGTAGTCAAACTTTCCTTTCTTCTCCATTAGATTTTCAATAGCTTTTAAGCCATTGTCTCTGTAAATGAACATGTATAATCTGAGGTAATTCAGTATTAGCACACTATTATCAAAAAAAGTAGAATTTGTAAGATTATTAAAGAGTCTTTTATTCTCACAGAGAACGCATATAGACCCTTTTGAGGGATGTAAACAATAACAATGTATTTCCTATTTTACATGTTTAATTTCTATAGCTTCCAAGAATCCAAAAAAGAGCCACATGTTGATGAATAATGTTATGTTTGCTGTTTTAACATGAAGTTATGAATTGAATTGCCTCTTGTTACAGTTATGAAATAGTTTGATTACAAGCAGGAAATATTCATGGGCCAATAACATGACCACATTAAAAAGGTCTATACTTAATCAGAAATCAATAGCATTATTTTCTTTTTTTTCAGTATCATTAAAACATGCTAATTTGGCACTTAAGAAACAGATTTTGTATCAATGCTAAAAGCTGAAAGTTTTTTTTATCAATTTTTTTGATGAATGGAAAAAGCTCAAAAGAACAGCAATTATTATTTGAAACAGAAGCCCAATAATAATTCTGTGGTTCAAAGTTGACTTCATTTGGGTGAATCAGTGTCAAATCAATGAAATATTTTTTAAAAAATTAATAAATAGTGAGAAAATATCATTAATATTAATAATTAATATTAGAGAACGAATATTTCCCAATCCCACCCTCTCTCTATCCCAATAAAGGCAAAAAAAATAAATAAAATTAAAAAAATCAACCAATAAATCAAAAATGACCACTTAAAAAGATAATAATAAAATAAAATAAATCTTCTATATGGTTTAATTCAATGGGCTCTATGCACAGCTAGAGTTTTAAAGCCAACGATAAACTTCCAGTGAAAGCTTAATGTGACTCTTTTCAATTTCACAAGGTTGTTTTTACATTATCGATGTTGTAATGTAATTACAATATATTCAGTTAAACAGATTTAAGCATTCATTTAGTTGTTCAAGTGTAAAACGAGATGAAAGACCATTGTCACCACTAGCGCCGTCAGTAGCATCAGGCATGACCATTGAAATTCCATTGAAAATACTGTCACATTAAAAGACATGGCGGGGGGAAATGGAAATTAATGCAGTGCTTCTTGTCCAATCTGAGACCCACTTTAAATCGTATACCTAACAGGCAGTGAAGTTCGATGATTTTGAAAGAAATCAGATCTAAAACAGGACAATTTTGTAATGGAAAGAAGCTGTTGGGCTGCCTGGCTGAAAATTAAGATTTTGTGTGCATATAGCCCATTGCCTACAAAAGTAAACTGTCAAACTGTACACATATTCAGGGGACAAAAAGGAAATGTGGGTCTTTCTGCATATAGCAGAAATGTTTTTTTTTCCCCATTGTTGAACAATCATTACTGCAACAAAGATTACAAAAGTAAAAGGACTTTACAAATAGATCTACAAATTCTTTGTGTAAAAACTACATAACAACACTGCTAACTTTTAAAAAATTCCGACACCCCCCCTCCCCACTAATCTGGCTCCAAATCATTGGTGAAAATCGTCTTTCATCACATCAACAACTGGACTACTCAGTAAATAAACATTTCTGAATCCTGACATATTCCTGAGTTTTAGACACTTTGTTCCAGTATTTAAAGGTATTTAAATGCATACTTGACAGAGCAGCACAGGCAGCCGTTCCTCAGCTCCAGCCACTCTTCATACAGCTCTCCTGCCTGACTCACAGCTAGAGATTTTTCTAGAGCGCTCCCTGCAAAAAAAATCAGACCACAACACGACTTCAAACTTTTAGCAACTTCAGTGCAAAACAGGCCAAAAACGCAATCTCTGGAATTTTGGCCATCCATAATCTTTGCTCTTTTAATCAAAATGTATGAACATGATGCAAATGAAATTAAAATATGGAAAAATTGTATACACTATACTATATATAAATAGGCAACACAAAAGATAAACATGAGACTAAAGAGTCCAAAATGTGGGTCTTTCACAAATGGGACCTGCTACTCTAGCTTGCAGCTTTTGGAAACAGAGCGCTTTGCTGCCCTCTTCTGGTTATAATAGTGACAAACCCAATGTGACAGTCAACATAAAAGAAAAAGGTACAAGAACTAGGCTAGAGGCCTTTTTGATTGTTTATTTGTTGTTTGTCTTATAACTTACCTTCCCCAAATTCATTGAGTATGACAGCTATTCGCTTATTATGTTGTTCGGTTAATATGTAGTTCAAAAGAGTTGTCTTTCCTGCACCTGCAAAAGAAATAGAGAAAAAGTTCACTGAAACACTTCACTGTAAGGTCTAATTGGTTAAC